ATGAGCTTCTTATTTTTTAAAAAGATTTTATTTATTTATTTTTAGAGAGGGAAGGGAGGGAGAAAGAGAGAGAAACATCAATGTGCGGTTGCTGGGGGCCGTGGCCTGCAACCCAGACATGTACCCTGACTGGGAATCGACCCTGCGACACTTTGGTTCGCAGCCCGCGATCAATCCACTGAGCTATGCCAGCCAGGGCCGACCATGAGCTTCTTAAAGGCAAAACATGAATCTAAAACTCTGCCTTGAATCCATAACCGTGCTGGGGCAAACCCTGCTGAAACAAAGACATCTGAGACATTACCTCCGAGGGTCCACACTCCTGTCCCCCACTGGCGCCACCTGGACAGACAAGACCCGAAGCTCCAGGACCTGGCCTGCTGTGGGCTGCGGAACCCCAGCAGCAAAGCCGTGTGTGACACCAGCAGGACCGGGTGACGCAAGGCTGCTGATGGACTCGGACTCGGGCCACGGCACTAGAAGAGGCTGTGTAAGATTTCTTCCGGCCTCGTGGTGACAGTAAAGACAGCAGCATCTAAAGCTCTGTGGCTTCTGCCACCACTGCCAGTGTGGACGGGAAGCCGTGGGTGGTTTTCCCTCCGTGAGAACAGTGAGCCCTCACCTCACACTCCTCACTGCTTACCCACGACAACCGATGCTGGCTTGAAACACACCCTCTGTGTATCGGCAGCCTCTCGGGGCTCCACGGGGCTCCGTCATGGGCTAGGGGGTACTTAGAAAAACAAATGTTCCTTCTCCTGAGCCATGACTTCCGATCTGTTAGCAGTGGGAACACTGGCGTCTTTTCTTTTATAAAAGTGCTGTGCCGGTTTGCACAGATATATGGAAAATGTTCTAAGATATGCAGAGAACACTGCTTTGGGGATCCTGGTTCCTTCAAGACACAGCCTCTCACTCCCAGTATAAGTTGCTTGTCTTAAGAGGTATAGAAGAATACAGAACTTTTTAATCTTTAGAGTGGGGAGACACTAATTATGTGCTTTGCTTGCAAGCCACATCTAATATATATATATAGTGTATAAATATAATATTCATATAATGTGTGTACAAGCACACACGCATGCATAGAGTATATAATATACAGACATTACACATGCTGTATATACAAATACTACACACACGCACGGTGTTCCATCACGAGCTGACGTACACGGGTGAACACAGCACTTCTGCCTGGCCTACAACTTCGAGAAGAAATGGGGTTTGCAGGCTCTGGCGTACGCCTCCTCTCGCATCTCTTCCTCTCCCCGTGCCAGCCGTGCGTCAAGGCTCAGGAGGTCTTGCCTTCCCCACGAAGCTTTAACCACCGGTAGTCCTTCTACAACTCAAATCCACTGACCTAAGTTTACTTCCAAAAGGAACAGTTACAGATACAGTGCTCACATGCCACACACTCTGGCCAAATTAATCCGATGCCGTCCACAACGCAGGTGCTCAAACACTGCCTGCTGGACACCCAGGGTGGGGAACGGAACCAGGCACCCCCCTGCACAGTGCCCCGGCCCCAGCGGAAACCCAGTGCCCGCATTAACTGCTCTCCACACTGCTGCCTCCTGTCGGTGCCGGTGCACGCGGTCACCTCGTTCCTTCGTCACAGCCACTACTACTCCCAGGGTCGCCCCTGCTCTCCGCAGACTTCAGGGTCCTGACCCAGCATTCCAGCTTCCGTGACATTTTCTCTGACTCACTACTGCCCGAAGCGACCCTCCTCTCTTCATGGTACGGAGTGCAGTTCGGGCTGCTATTTCCGTAGTTAACGGGCCCTGCCTCCTGCCGTCATCCTTTGTGTCTACCGTGACCTCTGAACTCGTGGTAAGTTCCCTTAGGGGAGAGCCACTGTATCCTCCAGAGCCCTAAGTTTGATCTTTGCAAGCAGAAAGCTCTGAAAAAAGACATCTGTATCTTGAATTTGTTGAGTTAGCTAGTCTAGTCCACCTCGATTTATTCCTTTTCAGAGCATCTTGACCACCAGTATTCGTCACACAATCTAGACCTGAAAGCTCTGCAGTCTCTCACTAATTTCTAGAAGTTTATCGCATCCCAACCAGACTGCCAGACGTTGGCGGGGCAGGCCGGCTCCCACCTCGGGTTGCTGAGGTCACAGAGCATGCTCAGTGGTGGGCTGACTGGAATAGAAGGGTAGGAGCTCCTTTACAAGAGGTGCTCCTTGGAAGGCTATTTATGTCCATCAGATCTTTAAACAGAGCTCTCCTTAAATGCATCTCCCAGAAGCAGCAGCTCGGATGCAGCTGCTCGGATGCAGCCGCGGGACAGTCCCGCCCTAGGAAGCCCGCTGGGAATGAGGTCCTGCTGGTCACGCCTGACTCTGGAATACGAAATTCTCCCTGAAACCTGCCTTGAGCAGCAGACGTAGAGACGAATACTCAGGATGAAAGACAGCGAGAGAGAACGTATTGCAACACTTCAGCTAACACAATGGTGGCACTGTGCAATGTTGCGCCCTCATTAAATTTCCCATAGGGCAATTAGACTTCATAAAAACGCCTCTCAGGGCCAATATATTTCTAATTGCTCATCTGCCCAGACAAGAAAATCCCTGCTAAACAGTTCCAGTGCCAACCTTCCCCAGGCACTGCGATCTGTGTCGCCTTCTCTCAGCTCCTGGGTGACTCTTCTGCAGGTGACGCTTCCCAAATCCCTGACTCAGTGGGCCCACGTCTTAAAAGATTTTATTTATTTATTTTTAGAGAGGGAAGGGGGGAGAGAGAGAGAGAGAGAGAGAGAGAGAGAGAGAGAGAGAGAGAGAGAGAGAGACATCAATGTGTGGTTGCTGGGGGTTATGGCCTGCAACCTGGGAATGTGCCCTGGCTGGGAATCGAACCTGGGACACTTTGGTTCCCAGCCCGAGCTCAATCCACTGAGCTACGCCAGCCAGGGCTAGCACACCCACGTCTTTTAATGACCACGCGGAATTCAAATGAGTGGTTGGTGAAACACGGTAGGGTCTTCTTTTTTAAAAAAAAACCCTCACCTGTATTTTTAGTCTGCCTTATACGAGGGGAGAGAAAATAAAAGTAAAACGATGTGGCTACAACCCGAACCTGGCACGGCCCACGAACGCGCTCTGACATCGAATCCCCGTGGTGCCAGGCGAGCCCTCTGGCTAAGGCCATCCGAGAAACGGCCAGGACGGCGTGCTCATGTTTGAACCTGCTCGTCCATCTACACCTTCAGGCGGACACATCAGGCACCATCTGCAACAACCCCAGGCCACTTTAGGGTGGAATTCTGGAGTAGCCACATATTCCAAAGGAATTCCGGTCAGCCCACTGAGAGGGGGAAAAGAAAAAAAAGGAGGAGGAAGAGCTGTGCTCCTCTGCTAACTCACGTACTAGGTGCAAGGACTGTAAGCAGCCTGGGTTGTGTTTACCATCAACCATTGCATTTCCTTACACTCTGTTCCTCCCGAACAAAGAAACACAGCAAACCAACAAAAGTGATCAGTAAGCAGAACAAAAGGCAACCGTGAAGGCAGAGCTCGTGATGTTCTGTCCACTTTCCTTCCAAAGCTGAGGGTTTACATCAAAGCTAAAAGGTCAAAGCAGCTGACACAGATGCTCGCGGGTCGCCGGTGCTCTAGGTCTAACTTGTAACTTGAGCTCCCGTCCTGCAGCCGGGGACACATTTTTTTTTAAAAGGGACATCTTGAGAGATTCCCTTTGCCATACTTTCTGTCTCCCACATTTTTCAAATTCTCAAGCCTTGCCCAGTGGCGTGAAAGTCACCTTAGCGAAGCAAGGCGAGAGGCAGCCACCGCGGTTCCGGAACAGCGGGGGACCGCAGCTGCCACCCCCTGGCTCAGGGCCAGGGGCTAAAACCAGCCTTGGGGGGAGCCTTCTCTGCGTGTTTGACTTGCACCGTGTCGACACTGTCACACCAGAGAGACCCGAAAATATTTCAAACAATTATGACTTCTTTCCTGTAAATATTGTCAAATGGCTTTAGGAGATAAAATAACATATTTTACCTTTCTTGTTTTCCCAGTGACCCTAGTCGCCCTCAGCAGCTCGCTACCACGAGCTTATTTTGGGCTCCAAGTTCAGGGAGGACACCTGAAGCACCACCTCTGCCCTGAAGCTGCCGTTCCCAACACCAGCTGAGGCGGGGGTCAGCTGTTCTTAAAGCAACAGCGCAACGCGGAGTCCCAGCCCAGGAGGAGGAGGAGGTCGCTTCTCTCCTCTGTGGAAGCCAGGAAAAACATCAAGGACTCAAGACAATCTTTTACAAAGACCCCCACCCCTCCCTGAACGCGGCTTTCTCTCTCTGGACAGGAAAATCTGTCTTCCCACTTCCTTCCTCTCAGGACCCTTCCTCGTTCTGGTTATTTCTGCTCTCAGACAGACACGAGTTGGACCAGACTGAGACTTTTCCGCTAGGAAGAGGGGAGAGACGAGGAAGGAAGAACTGCCAAGATGGCCAAGGAAGCTCAGGGATTCTGAATCCATTATTCACTGTTTCAAGGGTCTCTTCCTTCAAACTTCACCAAAGGGTAATCGCCCAGAAAAGAAGATGTGAAATTTATTTCAAACCTGCAGTCCCCACTGTCAGAGAATATGATTAAGAGCCCTTCATTCTGAGCTCTGCCGACGGGCTGTGATATCCACGGTCACAGATGAGCTAGTGATCAGTAGGTTAATAACCCTTTGGGGTAATTTCCATATATTTCCCGGAGCCTGAGGACCCAGAGGCCCGGCTCGCCTCCCCATCAACGCCCTCAGCGTGATGCGCAGCGTTTATTTTTGGCGTGAAAACACCAGATGCCAAAGCTGGCCACTGTGTTCCCTATAACACATCATCATAAAAGTACTCCGAGTTTATGATGGGAGAGATCAGTTTCCTATTTGCTGCTACTTAAAACTTACATATTTTGATTAAATCAACCCCAATAAACAGATCTCACAGAGAAAGTTCAGGGTTCTTTCAAAACACGGCGGGTGGGACCAGAGAGCAGCACTCACCTTCACTCCCAGGAAAAGCATTGCTTGAGCCCGCCACTGCCAAGGTCAACAGCAGCTTCCAGAGACCCATGCCTGGAGGACCTGCAATCACACAGAAGAGCACAAGATGAGGCCAAGCGAAAGCAGACCATTATCATTAAATGCCACTTAAATGCTCCACGTTTAAGCTGTCAGGGAGCTGACATGCCTCTCTCTCAGTTTTAGAAAAAAATCCCAGTCTGTCTTTCAGTGCCCCAGAGTCTCCTAGGGTCACACTTTTCACAAGAGCCAACAGCAGGTTGTAATAGATTTTACTCCCATGGGTGCTGGCCTCAGGAAATAACACAGGCGGTAGAGACACTCACACCCTGGCCCACAGCCACAGAACCACCCCACAACAAATGGCCCCCACGCACTGCCCCAATAATGGGGCCAATGTGGTCTGCTCTCACTGGAACTGGAAAGAGAAACTTGTCAGCCGTATCTCCAAGCATGGGCCCTGAGCTGGACAGGCCATAAAAGGACAAATAAAACAACCTACTGTAATACTAAAAGTCCCCCAGCGTGTGTCCCAGTGAACAAAAGACCTCAGTGAACCCCCAAATACCGAGCGAATAAGCCGTCCACAGGGGTGCAGCTGGAGGGCAGCGGAGGGCGGAAGGTGAGAAGCAAGTGGCCTCCTTAGGATGCCTGCTCTCCTCCTGGGTTCCTGGGCGGGTTGAGGAGGAATGTGAACACCTCAGGCTCACACAGGGTCAGTCCGTGCCTCTAGCCGCTTGGAATCCCGAGTGTGGCCACACCCCCAGCCCTGCAGTTTGACGAGCGGGCATAGAGGATCAGCATGCCTCGGCCGGCATTCACCTTCGCCTGGGGGAAGTACGCTGCTTTGGACTAAATGAACCCGGTGTCCACTTCCAAGATCTCTGAAGGGGCGAGTCTGGGCCGATTTAACATGAACTCCATGGACTCTCTGGAGAGCTGTTGCTGCACTTGACAACTACCTGATGCCAACATTGCCATCAAATTACACCCTCAAGTCACAGAGGTGCTCTGATCAGCGTACCGGGGGCCCCAGTGGGCCTCCCCCGGCCTCGTTTTTGTTATTGTGCATTTTTGACAATGATGAAATAGCCCTTCTCACGGCCCCTCATCAGGCTGAAGTGATAAACAGGAATGTGTGTTTTCCTGGGTAATGGAATGGGGTGGACCCCAGGAATGAATGGCTGCGACATCCTGAATAGGCATAGAACGTGTCAGGTTCTATATTTTCATTTCTAGATGGTGAATAACCCATGCTTTAAAAGGTTTTATTTATTTATTTTTAGACACAGGGGAGGGGAGGGAGAAAGAGAGGGAGAGAAACATCAACTGGTTGGTTGCCTCTCACACGCCCCCCGACCAGAGAGCAGCCCGCCACCCAGGCATGCGTCCTGACCGGGAATCAAACTGGTGACCTTTCGCTTCGTGGGACGACACCCTACCCACTGAGCCACACCCGGTCAGGGCACCCGTCACTTTTTTGTTCCATATGATATTCTGGTCTTAAAAAATTCTAAGCAACCACCTCTCTACATAAATGGAATCTCTTCCTGTGTCTGATGCCCCTCACACCTGCCCCACCCCCGCCCTGGGAGCCCCTGATAGACCGAGGGGATCATGGAGGTGGACACACTGCACCAGCGGTGAGATTTATGACACCCGCGCTGTACATCCCTACCCTGGGAGGCTCCGCCTGCCGGCCTCGCACCCTCCCCATCTGTTTGGCCCGCGGGAACCACTGAGTCTGTCTCCCTAGGTCCTCTGCTCCCAGGTGAGTAGGTGGAAGGCTGTGGCAGGAGTACATGCAAAGGCTAAAAACAAATACGTTATGGGCTGGAAACACCATCCTATTTGTAACTGGGCATTTCCTTGTAAATTTTATTTTTTACGTGTTTTTTTTTTTAAATATGAAAAGCCTTGAGGAGCAAGACGCTGTAAGAGTTCATTTCACCAGTTGTGCTTCTCACACTTGGTGGCGGGTACCGAGCTGTCCTGGCCATCAGTAGCTACAGAGATTCCCTGCGCCCAGGCTGTGCGTCTGCTTCCTAGCTGACTAGGCACATAAAGAAGCTTGCGTGTCTCAGAAGGGTGCTTTCGCTGGTTTGGAAGCCACCTCTCCCAGGGACACGGCACATGACAGACACACGTGAACTCTGCTTCAGGTGGGTAGTAGCTGCCGCTTGCCCCAAGCTGCGGCCCGCACGTGAACTTCACTCCCCCCAGAGAGGCGACCTGTAACAGAGGGAAACGCTCGCCCTACGGCCCTAACGTAATTCTCGCCTGCATTTCTCCCGCAGCCTCCAGGTGAACAACTCCTGCTCCAGGTATGCTAGTTATCACAGGAATTCTGCTTGAGGTTTGAGCTTTTGGCAAAGATCTGCAGAAGCCTCAGGGCCAGAGCAGGTCAGCTGGGGGCGGGGGCAAGGAGCAGGGAACAAACAGCTTCAGAGGTTCCACACTCTTCCTTGCCTCCCTGTCACACACCTCTTGCCCCACCCCTCCCCCCTTCCCTTGGCATAAAAGATGCCTGAATTCTGGGCTCTCTTCAGATGCATTTGTGGGAGCTAAAAGGTCCCCCATCTTCTCAAGCTGGCGCTGCCTCCATCAGTAAACCCTTCCTTACGTCAAAGCCTGACATTTTGAAACTCGTCCTTTGACATGTCCCGCACACGAACTTAGAACCAGCAACAAACTGATTATCCCCAGTCCCCTGTGGACCGAACAGATCTCCGTAGAGAACGTTCTGGCCCGCAGAGCACAGACCAGGACTCCCCAAGGCAAAGTTAAACAGGAATCTGCCTGCGCACTCCTACAGCAAAAAAAAGTAAATACATAAAACAAAAGAGTCTGTAAAATGGTCACTGTCCCAAACAGAAGGCAGCACAGCTCACTGCCTCTGACCGCATTGCACAGGGAGCCCATGCCACCGCCCCACCGAGGCCGGGAGCAGAGAAGAGGACCCGGAGGAGACGTGGCCGTGTCAGTAAGGGCTGGGTGCCCCGGGAGAGACAAGTGCTCTCCGCCCGCACTCTTGCTGGCTCAGGGGGCGGCGACTCCAAAAGCAGCTCACTGCCCTTTCCCCGTGCACCCCCTCGAGAGCCCCCCATAACCCAGAGCCTGGGGCTCATGCGGTTCGATTGCATCTACTGCATTGTAAGCTGTCCCCTTCCGCTTGGCAGAGCTCTGCACGGCAGCTTCCTGATGAGAGAGAGGATCCTTCTTTCTTCAGTTCTAAGTGAGACAGAACATCCCTGGGAGAGGACAGAGTTCAGTGCATGGAGTTCTGCCCTTGAATGTAATCTACCAGTGATGTGGCAACTGTGAGCAGGACAGAGTCCCATGGTCGTCCCCCCCCCGCCCCCCCGAAGTACCACCATTGAAGTAGAGGCGGGCACTGGCCAGAGGATTACACAAAATTGTACCTTAGTCGATTGGGTTTTTAAGTGTGCAGCATTTTTCTAGGGAAAAGCCCTGTCTCAGTTTCCAACGACATTTACACATTCCCTGGCTGTGACCTCACGGCCCGCTGTGACCTCACGGCCCACTGTGCCCTTGCAGGTGGCGGACGAGCTCTGCTCCTGCGTTAATGAAACACCCGTCCCAGGGCCCAGGCGCCCCGCCTGCCTCCCCCTCCCGCGAGGGAGAGCCAGTTGAAAGCGGCGCCATCCGGCTGGCCAGAGTCTTCAGTCTGCAGCCTGCCCGGCTGAGGAGGCCTCTACGTGAGTGAGGCCGATGATATACCAACTTTTATTTCTTGGCTATAAAACAGTCCATAAACACATGGGAAGAAATGGAGATTAAATATAATATTATTCCAACTCATTATAACCAACTCCAGGCAAAGAAAACAATTGGCCCGATTCTCTTTAATTTACAATTAGCAAGTATTTGTCGAGCTACGAAGGCCTGTTAGCATCGTGCAAGGCACAGTGGCGAATGCAAGGGCAATGAAAATCGGGGTTCCTGGCTTCAGGGACTGGGCAAGAAAGGCCCACGTGACGGGGAAGGGAAGCACACCTACGACTCATGGAAGGTCAGCCACTGAAGGCAAGGGCTTCAGATGAGAACCAAATGACAAGTCAGGCTGTGATGGGTTCGAGGAAGGAAGAGGGGACGGGTGCACCTTTGTTATGGGTAGACCTCAGACCGTGCAAGGGCTGCGGGGGGCTCTGCGTTCTGACTAGTTTGGGGTAGCAGGCTGCGCGGGCTGGTCAGCCAGAGAATAAGGTGCGGAATGATGAATTCAGGGGAATAAAATTAGATGGCAACTCGTGTGAATCAGAAAGTCACTTCAAGCTTCGGTGCAGGTAAGTCAAGTGCAAAAATGGATTTTCTCAGCACAAATCTGCCCCTCGTGCCTTCTTAACTTAGTGTCACCGAGAAATGCCGACAAGATCTGGGGATGACCGGATGTTGGGGAAGATGGTTGAGAGCTGTGTCTGTTCCAAATGACGGGGCATGGAGTACATGCGGGAATGAAAGCTGGTGCTGTCGACGGGAATCGGGAATTTGGGATCTGAGTCGTTGAGAAGGAGAAGGAGGCCCCGTGACCGGGACAGCTGGTGACTGTGATACTGGTGGGAATGTTGGACACGTCTAGTGGGAAGTTGACAGTAGGAGACCAAAGACTGAAAGGAGGTCAGTACTGGATTTCAGAGATATCGACACAGAGATGATGAGGACCAGATGAAGTTAATGTAAAGATCAGACTATTTCATGTAGCACCCCCCATCCCCTGCATTAAAAGTAGCACCAAAAAGTAGCATGAAAAAGTGCACGGGGAAGAAGGCGCTCATATCTGGTTTATAATTTGGCACAGATAAGACGAACCACCACGCTAAACTACCTCCAGCCTCTGACTTGCACCTAGTCTTTAGAATAAAAGTGGTCAAGAGCTTCTCTACAAGTATGATGCTAGCATATGAATATGCAGGAGGAATAAAATGATAGACTTAGTTGCTTGGAGTCCTATTCAGGCAAAATACCGAATGGTAGCTGAGTCGATCAGAAATGATGTTTCCCCCAATTTTTGTTTTGTTGATCTAGCTCTTCTGATACTGAAA